ATTTGTTGCGTGATAGGTTCTTGGTTGGTTCGTTCCCAGAGTTCCTTGTTGCTTATTCTTTCTGGACACCCGCTACATAGCAGTATTTATTTCAACTTCAGTCGTCCGACTATCTATCCACGCTAAAATATTGTACTAGCGACAATACGTCCTAAGCAATAATTATTATGAACGTTTAGCGGGATGAATGTCATGTATGAGCGTGAAAACGTTCTTCAACTAAAAAAGTTAAGGCTGCACAAACATATACGCATATCGCACTTCATCTCGTTTTTCGAATAAGTAGATTCATCTTACTTGGCTGAAAAGTTAACACAAGTTGCATGTCGCTAAGTATTAGCGCTATAATTAAATTTCTCTCTAGATTTCTGTAAACTGATACATATTAACTACCTTGTATTAACTATCTGTTAAGTAGTTCTTTGGAAGACGATAATCTCACGGAAGAAATATTTCTTTTCAGTTAGTTCGTCATCAGTAGCTGCATGTTAATAAGTTGCATTTCTTTTAAAGAATAAATGTATCATAGTGATTGAACAGCAAATATCTTATTAAAAAGCCCATTAGCAATTTTTATTTATCAAGGAGTGATGAATAACCAAGATAATATGAGAGGCAAATAAGGAATTAGTAACTTACACAATTAGGTCTAGAAAGCTGGGAAAACTGTTACCTATGCAATCATTCGTAAGATAATGTCTGATAAAAAAGTCATTCGTTACGCAAAGCAGTCATTTGTTAACATTAATGACGTATCGCAGATTAGAGATAAAGAGGACTGATATCGTAGCCTAAACTACTATAGTACTGGCAGCAAGACTGTGATTACTTATAACAGTACTTCATGTAATGAACAAAAGGAAGGTTCATTTTTGCATTAGAACCCTATACCAGCAATCAAAGTAGCTACAGTATTCATATCTTCTGAAAACTCCGGCTACGTTGCTTGGAATTATTCTCAATGACTTCTAATGTATGTAAGCTTCAGGGTCATAAAGCTCAAGTAAGATTAGATAAAACGTGGAAAATAGTGTTAAAGTCATTTTTAATATCAACAATTTGTTCAATATCAACAAAATGTAAAATTAAATACGTCCTTACAGATCCAATCTTTCCTATTTACTCAAACATAATATACGATTCGATAGCTAAATTGATTATTCCAAAAACTGTACTTTAACGACTTCAGAAAACAGCAAGTGATGCAGTAAATACGGGAGCAGCTTAAGAAGTGAGAAATGTTGACGTTATTTCGGGAACCTTGTTTTCTTTGAATGCAGAATAAACAGTGCAGTCACACCACAGTAAATGCGTTCGGAGGTTATTTCCTTAACATGGTCACAATTTTGCTGATAATCCTACTTCCAGACTGTAGATTTAAGAACAGCGATTTTTTCGAGGATACTGATAATCTTATCTTTGCAGTCAATGAATTTATGTGATAAGTTGGTAGTTTTTTTCTCTATATCTAGTGCTACTGAGTAAACAAAGGATAATTTCAAGTCCCTTCTGTACTTTCGAGGGATTCATTCTTCAAAAACTAAAACATGAAGTCCTCAATTTCTCAAATTATGAGTCATATGTCACACTGTTTCTTCAAAAACTGAAAACATGTTTCTTGTCATAGCACTTTCGAAAGTCATCAATCGGTTTTTAAAATGATCATTCATATGGAATTTGATGGTGTATTCTGTCTGCTTCAAAGAAATTTACATGACTTCAGACTAACAAAGCTGATCGGAATAATTAAAAAAGGCAAAGCGCTAGGCATTTTATTTTTCACATTTCTAAGGAGATGTGATACAAATTATATTAGTTGGTCTGTAGACAGTTTTGTTATCATAAAGTCTTAACAATCACAAACGTTTTTTGAGATATGCATTCAAAGATGTTATGACAACTTCTTATCAAATGTTTCAGTGTCAAATTTTTCGGATGAAACATGGTATAAATATGATCCGTTCGATTTATTTGCTTCTGAAAATGTAAACTTAAATCAAAAACAAGATATTCAGCGAACAGGACTCTTTTCAACTGATCTGTTCTCGAGCTGTTTGTTCATATACTTATATTTTTATGTATATATATATAAAGAAAACTAATCTAAAATAATAGGAGATTGAAATAACAATAATGGTGGTTATAGTTACACCAGTATTGCTAGTCCATGACATAAAGGTTGAATGGTTCCTGTCAACATGTACACGAGGACCTATTTCCGCCTGGTCTTATAAATTTGGAAAGAAATGCACTAAAAATTATATCCTAAAGTATTTAATCGATTTCAACCATTCGACCCACCCAACCATCCGATGATTTTAATGTTATCAATTGAATTCCCTCAGAAGTATCATGTTTCCTCCGTCTTCTATTTCTAAATGCAACAAAGACCTTGGATATTGACAAACCGCAGCCTGATCTTTGAGTGTAAAAGAATTTGATATATATATGAATGTACAGCTTAAGTTTGTTGAAAAGAGCCCTCTTCACTGAATATCTTCTTTCCCAGTCATGATCAGCGCATTTTCAGAACGTCAATTTTATTTGTTATCAGACTAGCATGAATAGACTCAGAGAAAAGTTTTTGTCAGACTGACAGAACAGCAGTGCTTTATGGGCTTAGGGCTGCGACCTTAAAAATTCCAGACAAATGGTGACCAGCTGCATCCTTCTTCTCTTCTCCACCTTAAGATGGACTTGAAGTCCTTGGTCACTTAAAATAACACCTAGTTAAGTCGGCTATTACCTATAATATGGCTCTAGATGATTATGAAGAAAACTGCTTTCCATTACTGTTATTCTAGTAAACTACCCTACAAAAAGAAATGTATAAAACAGAGTGTCTCTAAAGGCCACCTTACCAACCAATGAAATAACTAGTTAGATACCTATATTTTAGCTGAAAGGATGGTCATTCATAAAAAGCTATTTCAGTAGCTGTTAGGGTCACCTTCCAAGTTTTTATTTAAATATAATCTAGGTTTTGTTAGAGATGTCTTTGGTTCACAAAGTCATTATCAAACAACGGAAGAATAACAGCTTCAACATATGCTTGAATTTATAACATTGGTGTGAAAAGATGTAAATGCATTCAGAGTGAGCAGATGAGCAAATGATATTCATGGTTTCAGGAATGATAACCCATTGAATAAAATTTTTTCTTGGAGATCTATGTAGAAATCTGTTGCTAGCTCATTTCATCAATCAAAAATATAAATTGCTGTCTTTTAAGATAAATGTTTATAAAACGTGGACATATTTCTCTCAACAGGTAAAGTCTAAATTTCATGATTCTCCAAAAATCCTCAAAAGCACTCATCATTCTCGTTTCTCCAGTTGACTACATTGTGACTACATTATCTGCAGCAAATTTATAATGTCAATTGAGAATATAATCCAATTCCATTATGTAACCGCAGATTACCATAGGGTACCGGCATCATTTTACTATATCGAAATACAAATTCACTCCACTGAGTACATGATGAGGTTAGTTGGCAAAATATAAGGTAGAATCATGAGAATCTCGTCAGAACATCTGACTTTTTCAGTTATGTACACCTTTCCACATTAGCGATTATATGTACGGTATAAATTTCACTTCTTAAGGAGTGTGAAAGAGTATGGTACTTTCTGCTAGTCAACAGAAATGTGCCTCAGCAGTTATCCAGGCTGAGTACCAGTTCTCCGCTATTTAGCAATTCTGCAAGCATTCTGAGTGTACCTAATAGTGCACCTGATTCTCTTTCAAATACCACAGCTTTCCAGAGCCTAGAGTTGTGAGCTTGTAGCGAAATTGAAGACCTGAGATTTGATGGAAGTTACCTTAATGTTGCTGAAATACCTAAGAATAAAAAAATTAATCACTGGAGAAAGTAAGATTAGTAATACTGAAAGAGAATTCCAAACAGTTTATATTTGTCTGCTTGATCAGTGATATTGATATAATAGTATGGACTGATTGAAGCTATAATAAAGAAGTTAAATGACATTCAGATGTAGTTTTCAAAAACTAGATGCAACTTATTCTTTCTTTTTTAGCGGTAACATAATTGTTTTAGATATCTGCCCTAGGTAGTGATATAAAATTGTTACACCAATTAGGGGTTGACCAGATAAACAAAGATTAGTCAGTTGTTCTTAACTGGTTCCCTACCACGGTTTTTGCTATAATTATGTACCAGTGCTTGCATCACAAGACCTTTTCCATAGGCCGTTTATCTAAGGAGGCTGTATCACTCCAGATCTTCTCACACTTCAGTACTCTGGTATGTTGACTTGCCCACTATCGGCAACTTTCATCAACTTTCGTGACATCACGTATATACGGCACATAAGGCACATCAGCCCCCAAAATCTTCTCTCTAAATGACTTTGTGAAATCCTATTCCGAACTCTGCACAAGATTTCTAATACGTCTGGACTTCTGACGGCAATTAAAAATAAAAGTCTAATCGAAGGCTAACTTTATTAAACTCGGGAAAGCCGTAGGTAAGAGGCTAACAAATTGACTGGAAGTGTTGATGGAGATTATTACGTTTTCTAGCCACTAGTATGCCAACAGAGAATATAATCAAATAATCAGCTGGGAATAACAAAAAGAGTCCAAGAGGTGGAGAAAAAAGATGTTGCACAACCGTTCGTGTATACGAAATCAATGATTACTGTGAGGCACAGAAAACATTCAACCAATCAGTTTACGAATAGGAAATCTATTCTGACTGAAATAAATGGTGGAGAAGCAATAGGACGATAAGGGCAAGATGTTGAAAGTTGTGTCACTGAGGTTTTATATATATGGGCGAAAAATTATGTGCATGACTTAAACCAACGAATAATTCTGTCATTGCATATTGTTTCATACGGGAAAACTCAAGTTTGTCATAACATTTTTGAATAAAAGTATACTCCTGGTTGGTTTATTTTAAGAACAATTTTTTTGTCTTGTAGACACTTTTATTACAGTATTTGTTTAAATCAAGTGTTATTTTTACTCCTAGGTGGGGCATTTCTCTGTCTTTTGGACATTGTACCAATAAAAAATGACAAATCACAAGTGGTTCTATTTCTTGTATCGCACAAAGAGCTGTCACCTGATCGGCATGGACGAAGTAAGTCGAAAATTATGCTACTTTCATGATGAACAAAAATTAGCATTCGCTGTCCGATTTCTACAAGAGTACCACTTACAATTCAGGTCGCTGAAAAGAGAAATTTCATAAAGTTATATTTCTTAGTATTGTATTTTATCCCGTGATGTAATAACAGATACTGCTTGATATGTATAAGGTAACGAAATGCTAAAAGTTTCAACATGTTTTTTTTATCATTAGTATTCCAAAAGGCTGCTTATCAAGTAATTATTTCTAGCCTTAACTTTCTAAATTCAATATGGATCAGTGAATTAAATTATCAAACAATATATTTTAAAAAATGTGGAATCTGGTAGACTCCTTAATTTTAGTTAGTGATACATAGGGAATGACTGGTAATGAAACAGTTTTCATCATGGGCTCATATCATCCAGCAAATCAGAAATGTACACCTGTTTTATGATAAAATGGGACTTCTTAGCATCAAGCCCGATACAGTCATTTATGAAGTCGAGCGTACTGCTATTTACCCACATCCAGAGATTATGTTTCTTTCGGTTTGTAATATATTGCCACTATCATCTGGTATGCACCTCATTCCCGACTTGGTTGACTCCATATACTACAGACTCTTCCTAGTATTTTGAAAAAAATATCTTTCGAAACAAGTCACCAGTGATCACTGAAAGTACTCCGATTCTTTCAAACTTATCTAAAACTTTGCATGATACTATAACCTAGCATTGCATCTTGAAAATCACTTTTCATATTAAATTAATTCATAGATTAAAAGCAATACCAGAAATGTATCTGGTTTATTCATTAACAGCTTTATACATTAAAACATATTCACCTAAAAACCGAAAACAAACTTACCAACCCAGGTGAATAAACATATACACCTTATGCTTGTAATGAAAGGCCTAAATGTAGACATAGTACAACTATTCTGTAAATAACTATCGAAAGAATAGAACACAAGCAGATAACGTAGTAGAAGTTGATCCACTTTATTTCATTGAATCTTATAATTAATTCGTTCTTTGTGGTATCAGGTCTGCAAACTTAAATCTTTAAGTTTTTATTCATTATCTGCTAGGATTATATTTTATAAGGTGGAATTTATCACGAGATAACATCAACAGGAAAACCATCTGAAACTTGAAAGCACTGCTGTTTCGTTCTAGTATAAGAAATCTCAGCAGTATGCGCCTATAACTGCCTAGGGGTTGAACTAATAATATGATTACTAAGAAACCCAAAACTCTTGGGCTTAATCTCTGATGTGGTCATCGGTGCAGACTACTAAGGAGTCCTATACTACGACGAAATAACTGTACGTTATTCCTGGATTTCCAGTGGTTCTCCAAGTGATGTCAGTCTGTTATAAATCCAAACTTGAAGCCAACAAATCCCTACAAATTTCCTGAGTTATATGTTGAATATAAGCTACTACAACTCACAGTCCATCAGTTCAGCTGTTTCTATAAGCTTACCTCTTGATGACCATGCTAAATGATTAACTTCCAAATACGTCATCCAGAATACGATAAAAAGTATTTCACGTCCAATTTTTTTCGAAGTATACAATTGATTTAATAGACATGACAAATATGCAAAATAGATATACAGAATATGTGAACAGTACAGTTAGAAAACATATTCTTGTTTTGAAAATGAAAAATCGATACCTTTTTCATTTTTAATCCCAAATTTCACATTTGCATAAACTCTGTTCAACTACTGGACTTAAAATTAGCTAATATGGGATTTGAATAGATCCTAGTAGGACAGAATGTTGATGCTAAGTACTTTGGTAGTTCATATGTCAGAGTATTTCTGAAGTTAGCTACTAGTCTAATGAGACAACCCACTTTGTGAATCTTAATAGTACTGCAATTTCTGCTAGGAGTATTAATTTTAGACATTAAGCAATTTAGATTCACCAAGAAATAGTTTCAATCGATGTATCAGATTAGTTGTGAAATTCTTAGTTTTATTGGTAACAGTGTCTACTGGTTCCTTGATCTCTTCATATGGTCCTGTTTGAATATACTCATTAAGTTATTTGAAATAATCTGATTTCATTATAATTATTGTTGATTAACCTTTATTATATTTGACAACTACTGTTTTTTTTTGGTTTCATTTTAAAAAAAAGACAGTAGCTAATGTAGCCACTGAACATAAAACCATATTTACTCTCTTCTTGTTATTACCATATTAAGTTTTTTCTCTCTTATTTTCCTGTCAAAGTTATCGTCTGGAATTTAATTTTCAAACACATTCAGTTCTTCTGACGCCGCTAAACTATACAATTTAGCAACATATTTTTACTTTTCAGTATTCATAATCTCCAGCGATACTTTCAACCTCAAAGAAAACTAAATTTTTATTTTAATATATCCTAAGAAAGATATGCATGTATATAAGATTAAAGTCTGACAGTGATGTAACTGAATAACTCGCTTACAAACCGGAACCTCCAGTGGTTTCAAAGTGAAATCCTAAATTACTATTTATTGATCTGCTTGTAATTCTCCTCTGTTATTTTGGAACAAATTGTTAGATCTCTATTGGCATATGAACTCCTATGCGGATGCCTTAATATTGCTTTATTATTAAATAGGATAATTTTCTTAGGTTGTGGCTAGCAGAAGAATTCAGGATGCGTATTTTGTCCTAACTAGGACTCGTAATCTGGATCTACTTGCACTCCAGTGTAGAATGTTGTTCTCACTGAGACTCGAACCTAGTACCCATTACTTCAAATGCTAAGGCACGATAGCCACTTCTTGTACAATAGATATTAGTTATTACTATTTGTTGGTAGGCTTGTAGTTCTCTCTGTGGTTTAGTGGATAATGCCTTGGCGTTTGAAGTGATGGGTACGAGGTCCAAGTTTCATTGGGAACAACATCACTTCCACTGGGGTCCAGGCACATCGGCTGATGAGCCCTCTGCTAGCCACAGCCAAGCAACTTGTCGAAATTCTGAGTGTACTGTATAGACGGCGTACTATCCTGATATTCAGTAGTCAGACTCTTCATTTCAAGTCTTTGGTGTTATGACTTGGGGCTATCGTGACTCAGTAGCCCAGTAGATAATGTTCTGATGTTTGAAACGACTGATCATCGGTTTGGGTCTTGATCGGAAGAACGTCAGTCACTGGAAGGCAGGCACATCCGACTGAAGACTCCCAGATAGGAAGAAACAAGCATCCTACGTTTCACTGTTAGCCATTATCCATCAATAATATCTTGTATTTAAAGTCGAATATGATGAAACCGCACTTATAAACCCTATTTCCCTTCAGATCTTTATCAAGATGGGTATGAAAGCTTGGTGTAAATAACTACTTTCATCAGATTTTCTTATACACCTTTCAAATCTCCAACCGTAAAGAAGGGTAAAAAAACATTTAGCCTAAAATTATTACCTTGAGTAGTGAAACTTACGTATGTGAAATTTTCAGGTTCATAAAACTCTTCATATTCTTATTCATAGTGTAAAAAACTACGTCAGGCAAGGATATTCGTATTCATTTCCTTTGTTTTCTTGTTCTTAAAACCTGACTGAGAAGAGATTACTGTGGCAGCAAACCTACTGGAATATGCGACCTGGATTTGTTTGAGCTTCTTGAACGAATCTTTGATGATAACTTGGATGTGATATAATTGTTGGGAATAGTAACTGAATCCGGATTTCTCCTTTCCTGTTATTGAATGCACTCCAAGCGCATATGACTTTTTTCGAATATCAGCTTCATACTTAGGGTTTGTTACTTCATAAACCATAGCAATATCTAAAAGACTATGGATTCACAAAGATGACTCCGATTATCCAGCATATAATATGAAAATGAAAATAAATCAAAAATCGATGCATCTGTTCAAAGAGTCCGCTTCATAACATAGATCAGTTAGCTCTGTCGAATAAATTAATCAGCAATAAATCTAAAATTAATAATGATTGAAAGTCAATGAAAATACGGTAGCTTTCATTACTTAGTATCCTAATGGACAATAATGCTTTAACCTGTGAAACGACGAGTCAGTGATGGAATTATTAGTAGGAGCATGAACACAGAGGAGAAAGTACATCTGTCTGATGGGTGATGAATCAGAAACATCAGGTACAATTGACTCCATTACCATCTGACAGCATATGACAGGATACTACAAGACTATCTAGAACACCTGATTGAAGACTTTAGTGTTTTTTTCAGTATATTAACATGAAACATTTTGTAAGACTGTATTTTTAGTAATATTTAAACAAACTAAGAGTAATTTTAAAGCTATCATAAGTTCACACGTAAAACGCAGTTAATTCTGAACTCAATGCTTAAATTGTAGCAAATTATACGACCATTAAACAGAGTGAAGCAGCAAGAGTTATTTCGAAAAAGCATATATGGAACATGCACATAGTTTGATACTGTTAAGATGAGATTTTGCGGTTTCCCGACAATGTACTAAAATCTTTAACCTTCTTACTCTCATCATCATTTCTCATTCACCATACTAGATGACTTAAAAGCAGGTAGTGTATGTCTTCATACGCCTTCACAAAGAGGTTTTAAGGTACAATGTAAAACATAATTGTAGATTTTATGAAGATATGAGGGATCTGAATATAGAGTATTCACTAACTTATATCTGATAGAAGCAATAGACTTTATATGCAGCGAATTGACAAATTAAAGCATGGAACTAAAAGCTCCTTTATCTTTTAGTAAAAACTCTTAACATAAATTTTTTCGTAACAATGAAATTTAAGGGAGGCTTGAGGAAGTTGAAATGGATTCATACTTGTGGCACGTTTTAATGAAATTTTTCCTAGCAGGTTTAGATATTGTTCTTTGCAAAAATTTTTACTCCTCAAGTCAGTTTTAAGATGGTAGACTTACAATTTTGAAGAAAAAAGAAAATCTGATGAATAAGTCTGAGGATATTCTTTCAATAGTTTCGTTCAACATCAAAGAAGAACATAATAGAATCACCAGACTATTGAACTCTCCAATGTAAAGCAGAATATACAGGGTTGTAACGAGCGTTTATTTGGAACAGATATCAATAAGTAATCATTCACACTTTTTGTGTTTTATACCTTTGCAATACAAACGAAATTTAGCTAAGTGCTTCTTACAGTGAGCTTCAGTTGTCGTCAATGTACATGCTATGAATGAAGAGCTTAACAACATGTATGATCTACTAAGTAATAATAAATACCTCATGAATTTTATCTCTAACCGTGTAAATTGATCAAAAGCAGTAGTCAGCACATTGACATTTAGGAAACTGCAGTTCTGCTGATTGAAAAGAACATTGTCAACAAAATTTTTAAAGCTTTCCGGAAAAGTGATTAAAAGAGTCTTCAAATGAAGCAAAGTGGTGTTTGCTTAGTCTTCAGTCAGCTGAAATATAGTTTATCAAAAGTTTCACCTCCTATATAAACTTATTTTTTGTAGCCCGTTGAAAATGGTGTATGACTGAGCAGTTTCTTCGTTAAATTTCTGAACCCCACCAGCCACTTTTGAGTACAACAGACAGTAAATCAATACCTAGCTCCTTTCTCTTCAATATTGTCGGTGGTAGATAATAAACTGGCACATATTATTAAAGTCACATCACTTTGCTGACTATCTAACTCATTTTATAAGAATAAGTCTTTTACACATAACAACAGGAATTCAAATTCTTTTAAGTACGTGGAAAGTCTTTTCAAAAATATATTTGTACTCTTCCTTATATTAAACACTTCTGATTGTTCTGTTTCCTACTCATCTTACACAAGGCAACTTCACTGAGCAATTCGTTCGTCTTACGCATAACCATTTTGCAACTTTTCATTCATGTAACAAATCGTTTTGACGTTTCCAGTCTAATTACTAGCGAGTATACCATTTTCTTCATTGGTAATCTAACTTATATGGTCAGTTATTACCCTTTTAATATGACTATTTAGAAATTATTAATTTGTTATATGGTCAAAATATCACAACTAGATTAGTTGTATCCCACTCCAATAGCAGAAAGTACATTAGCACAGGGCAGTTGAAAAAAGTCAATTCTTACCCTAACTTCTTGTTTTTTTAAAGTGCCCTGACTTTACAGTCTTCCAAGTATTATAGCACTGTAAATCTGGGTTCTGAAGTTGAATGTACCTCTTTATTAATACCGTCTTCATATTTGGTACATTTTCCTTTAGAAAAGACAAAATCTGGCGGAAATATGACGGTTTTCGTGGTAGGAAAGCAACAAAACTCCATGATTAAAAAAATAGAACATTTGTACAAAATGTTATTTTTTGCTAACTATAAAACCAGATGTCTCTTCTGGCTTCTGTTTAGATTTATTGTTCGTTATATATAACTACAGGTTTGTACTCACCAAGGAGTGACATCAGTTGCAGAAATACTGGAAACATGGAAGCACTGTACAGCTGTTTCGTCCTGGTATGAAACTCCTCAGCAGTACGCACTGTTGACTCCGCAAATGAGGGATCGAACCTAGGACCTTTGGGTTCCACAACCAGCAACTTACCATTGAGTCAATGGTTCATATTTTCAACCTCAGTGGAGACGTAACTTCTCTAGAGGCTGCAGGTGCATCCTGCTTATGAGTCTCGACAAACATGAAACCTGTGTTCCGGGCGTACTGTATGTTCCCTCCAACTAACTAATGTAGAGGAAAAGGTTATCATTTGCAAAAGCCAATAGGAAAGTTAAACATTCCTTATATTTATTGCATGAAAATTCATTCTTATGGAAATATGTAGGTAAATTTGCTGCACACTAGCTCATGTTGTATGTTAGTATTCAGCGGACATTTTAATAACAGTTACATAGTTTTTTATCATTATTACCTGCTTGCTTTACCTCATAGGCCTACTCTGTGATAATAATAAAAATTGTTGACATAGTGATAAATTACCGAAGGAGATTGTGAATAATGACTTTGAACCAAAATATTTTCCCTAAGCAAGGGCTTATTAAACACATCTGTAGGATTTAGTGTTTATATCCAAAAATATTGAAACCTTTTACTATCGATAAACATTCCTTCTGACTATCTGAGTATACGCTTTCATATTAGATTCATGAAACAATTAGCTAAACATTATGCTATGCATCAAAGTGAACTATTGTCCAATAATGCTTTACTATAAATTGAAGAATTTTATCAACTTTTGAATTCAGTGCACATCAGTTGCTAAAAGATATTGAAAGCAAATTTCATATATTTTACTGGGTAAAACTGATATTTTCGAGTACTTTAATGGAAATAAACAGTTGTTAGCCATTGATCTTCGAATAAAGTATTGAACAGGACAAGTGAGGTTTGAATACTTTTAATTATAGTAGATTAGAAATATTTCATAGTGCTTGAAAGTCTCGAACTAAATATTAATAACTGCTCCTGTTTTTTCTTTTTTTGTAATATCTTCGCAAAGTAGTCTTATCAATAAAAATGCAAAACTATATTATAAATCATTGACTTATGGTGTTTTTATTTTGCAAACTGTTTGAATTCTAGTGAGTAAGGCAAAAGTATCTGATGTTGGGTGATGAGAAACAGTCAGTTGAAGGTATTAGGTGGACGTTCATCCCTTGCTGTTATCATTTGGCTGAACATATTTACAACTTTGAGATAGGTGATATTCCATCAAAGACTGAAACATGTATCATTAGGAGTTACAATTCAAACTACAAGCGCCCAACCTATTGAGACAAGTATTGAAATATTATGGAACCGTGCAAGACACAGTGTTGAGTAGTGAGAAAATAAACATAACCGTATAGCTGACTGTTACCTATCTGCTTTCCTGGTGCCAACATCCTAGTCTGTTGGACAGAATAATGTGAAAAGGACTATCTAAAATTGCCTCAGTTCCCTTCAAATTTCAATCATGCACTACTGGAAAGCTATTTAGGATTAAAATAAGTTTCATGGTTTTCTACTGCAGATAAAAATACTAACACACGTATTTGCAGGAGTGAAAAATCGACAAAATCTGCCTCAGCACTGCAAAAGAGATAAATTCATTAATTTTCACACCTTACATGGTAAAATAAATGTATTCTGGAGAAAGTGGCGTATACAGTCTGCATGATTATCACATATAGTAGAGAACTAAATCTAACTGCACCATCAGTCCAGTTAGAAAATACATTCGTAAGTGGAACGCAACAAAGACGATATACTTGTAAGGTACCTTAGATTACAGTCCAAGAAAATTGACTGAATCTTTTGCAAGTAGTAAAAGACTGTAGAAATACGTATTTTACGAGAGAAGTGTAACACATTCTTTGTATTATAAGAATGAATAGCCACTGATTGTTTATGTACAAGAAAAGTATTATTCTATTATTGCACCAGAAAGGAATTAGGGCAAATATAACATCAGATGTCAGAGCGAAATAACTGTCAGGGAAAGTAAACACAGAGTTGAAAGTAAGGAATTAATGATTTACTCGAAAGAAAAGCATCTTTAACTTCCCTGAAAATCATTTCGCCTCATTAGATTAGGCTATAGTTTCTCATCATTTATCCCGGATACTCTGTTGCCAAGCGAATTCGAACCCTTTTTTATCAGCATACTGTGTTTACTAATCACTTACAGAAAGATATATATCTACCCCTAATTAGTGACCAATACTGTAAGATAGATTACACGATATTGTTTCACACTCATGTTTTCTAAAATATTCTAGCTGCCGAAGTTCCGTGCTGAAGTCACAAACTCTACTGCTTAAATATTCTATTCAAGACCCCTCCCGTTCACAACTGAAATGTGTGCAATATTTCATAATCGATGTGATTGAAGAAGCCATCAATTCATTGCTGCTCAACGGTGATTGTATTTTAACTGCCTCCAACACCTTGACAGACTGTGCGGAGAGGGACAGTCCTTCTGCCAGAAACCAAACTGTAAAAGAACAAAATTCACTTCAGTCATCAATTAGAACCAGGTTGCATGAAGCTGGTAACTGACTAACATTTATACAGCATAAGTTTCTTCATGATGAAGAACATGACTTCGAATGGGTGCCAAAAAGTGCTAGACCTAAGTCTTAATTAACCTGCTTTGTGTTTGCACATTTAATATAAAAATGTACTGGACTAGTGTGTACATCTGCAGACTTAATAACTTGATGACAAATGTGGTCGAAAAGATTTCATCATGTCTAGGAATCTAAAACTTTTAACCTTCACGTGTCAATACTCACTAAGTTATCCATTAGGTTTTTCTATGAGCTGTAAACAGGCCCAAATCCTCAGTATTTCTTCAAGTCAATCAAAAAGAAATAGACTACGATGACAAAGGGTCTTTTAAAACTATAATCTGCACTATAACTCAGCTATTACAAGAATATACTTTAATATATAGTCTCAGGGTATGTAGAAACTGAAAACAAGATATTTTCTACTTGGACATTTGTAACAACTATGATCTAGATGTTCATAAACATTTTTATTCACCTCAGTTTGGGTAAGATATCTCCTTGTGAATATGCTGTTATATTATAACTCTGTCTAGTTGGATACTACTAGGTAGTAAAAATTGAGTTATTATCACAATCTTTTTGTCTGGATATTTTAGTTGCTCTAATTACCATCTGTAATCTTATTAACTTTGTATGATATATTTTCTTTTATGTATTTCGTTTAATAATACTTCTTCTTTAAGAAAAAGATCACATATATAAAAATCTGCAGAAGTGCTATATGCTGTTAAATTGGTTTTGCATATCAAACTAAGTTATCAACTGTTACAGTTCCTACTTAAAGCGTCTTAAAATTACGGTGTACAGAATATTGAAATGAATCTGAGATTTATTTAATGATTTATATCATTAAGTATATTTTTCACATACTTTTAGATAGAACCAACTGTAAAGTTCCTGAATCAAGTTTGAAATTACCCTACTTATTATCTGCTCAACATGTAACAGGAACATCTTTATCAAGTAAATCACCTAATCTACTTACAATGGGACTTGCAACAACCATCACAGCGGCTGCTTTAGGTTCAACTGGATTTCGAACCAACAGAATGTTGGACTATTTAAGTGCCAGTAAAAGCACACTACATCAAAAAATTCCGCATGATTTAATTGAAAAAAATAATGATTCAATTGTGAGTAAAAGCTATTTAAATCGTGGTTCAGTCGATTCAAATAAACCTTCCACAAAATGCAAGTCACTTAACGCCAAGTGTGATGGAGATGATGCTGTAAGTACTCACAGAAATTCAACTGATAAATTACAAACGCGTAGTTCTAAACCAAATCCAGTGACAAACGCTATTGATGTTGAAAGTGGTTCACTTCTGAGTCTTGAAAACAATAAAAATTCATCTAATAATAAAAAAATCCTTGCTTCCAATAAAATGATACCATCTGAATCAGATTCTACAGATTCGTCAAGTGATGAATCAAGTAATATAACAGATGATCCATCAACTGCTTACAAGTTTCAAAGACGCAGAAGTCGCGCTGTTCTCTATCATCTATCTGGACGATTCGATCAGAAGTCAAAACATAAGTTACCATTTAAAAAAGTAAGATTATATCTTTGGATAATATCTAGGCAACTGTCGTCGTAGTAAAGAGGTTTTCATTTATAAATTTTGTAGTTCGTTGACAAACTATGGCTTTCAATGTAGTTTTCATCACAAAATGACAATAAACTCGTAAATTATGATGAAAATAAAGCAACGAATACTAAGTGATTAGGTTAAGTAGAGAGTCATTTGTGTCACAGGGTTGTTTGGTTTTAATTCAATGAGCATATTGTAAATTTTGATCACTCGAGAAATCAGTGAAATGATCCAGTGCTGAATGAGACAACTATATGACAGTCGTAGGCTTTTTAGTAGATACTCAAGTGATCTAAATAAATACCACGTCTTTGAAACTGATACCTATCAGAGCATACAGACAAGTGTGGATGAGAACTTGATTGTGAAAACGTGAAAATCCTGGATAGAGGAAATATAAGAATGTCAGGAAGTTTTCAGAAACTTGATATTTACTTCAATCAGAAATCAAAAGATATACTGATATTGACCAGATCTAACAGCCAATAAGAAACAAGACGAAGGTCAATTTCATGTCATCAGGTCAACCAATCAAAATGAATATTTAGGCAATGACAAGAGTTTGGTAGAAACAACTAATCGAGCACATTACCATAAGGGTTAGCACATTAAATAAGTTGTAAAGAAATTTGCACTGATTAAATTGTCTAGAATGACAACGAAAGCTCTATGATTCAACAGTTTAGCCCAGGGAACACAACACTATCAGAAAGAAACCTAGCTTTCAAAATGCTATACTACTGATAATCGATAAGAAGGACAAACTGTTACTCATTTCAAGAAAGATATATTGACGTTATCCAAATTTCAAAGATGAATTTCCTTTCCTTTCCTCATCAGTTTTGTGCAAATTAGTTTGATTTGCTTTTGTTAATTGATTGAAGTTCATGTATTTCAAATAATCTGGAAATAAGGACCCTTAACCATAGAATGAATATGGAATAAAAGAATTAACAGTCATAATAGTGAAATGCAACTATTTTGTCCCCTGGTTCAAAAGAATTAGTTGTCTTCTACGTAATTACATTTTATACTACTAGTTATAAAACACCCTTGTTGATCTGTGGACTTCACTAGTCAGATATGAATGACCGCGGATGAGCGCCGCTCCAAATGACCATATCAAGTACCCGAGTATTTACATCCCTATGTCCTGCCTACTAAAACCGCTAAATCCACCTAAATGGGACCTCAATACTTATTTTATTCAGTAATATATTTTGTTGTTTTATGACAGCTTTGTATCACAGATGACAAATAGTGATCTTTGGTGGATAGTTCCCATTGAAAACGCTGTTCAAACCAAGGCTGGAATACCTCTCATCTCTGAAACGCTCTAAAGTAGAGAATAAACAGATCATAAACTGGTGACTAAAAGTCTGTGATTCCTTGACTTTTTCCGTTTTACGAACTTTATACCCTTACACTTCAGACAAAATGATAAGAGACACATACATTATAAAGACTGTAAGGTAAACTTGAAGTTAACAGCAAGGTGGCATAAACTACAGACAGATGGTTCGCTTGAAAAGTGAACTTTTTACCAGTACCACACCTGTGTATTATACAATTATCTCACATGTTTGCCTTCTAAGCCGATATTATTATTACTTTTACCAAATATTAGTTTGCATAGAAGGTAAACATAAAGATTAGGAAGCAGAAATTATATTTCGTCGCCTACAATATCGATTGTGTGAAAAAGTTGTTTATTGTCACAATTCATAAATATTTTCTTCAGCCACAGATTTTGTGATGCAAATTGGGAAAAAATCTCTTGAGGCTATAAGATCAACAATTAGTTTCCTTACTAACAAATTGGTATACATTTTTATTTACTAGAAGAAACTAAAGATCCTTTTTATTGTCTTCAGGGAAATCAGTTTTTTTGTTGACTTAAAACACAATCTTATATTCATGCAAATTCTCAAAAATATGTGATATTAAGTAAAAATAAAATACTAATAATTCATCTATTATGAAGTCATTGGTGTATAATGGCTATTGAAGGATTTTTACTGTATAACAATTTACATTTCCTCAATGTGTGACGATCCAGTCGATGAAAAACTTCTGTTCCGCATAGATTTTGTGAATGGCCTACTCTGAACCTGGTGGTTTCTTGAATATTCACACAGCACTATTATCAGATAGGCTACTCATGAGATATTAGGTAGTCAACCATCTGCTGTAGGACTGAATTAGGTGTTATTTAATCCTTATTGTCGACAAATGTCATCTCCTTTTTGTAGCCACCACTTATTTAGGGTGAACTTTTTTACCTATTGACAGGTCAGTGAATTCAATCATAGGCATACATTTCCCTAGAAAAAATGGAAGATAACAGGTGAAATAGAACCTGTAGGTAGTGTTAATATATTTCTGTTACATTTTAAAGTCCAGACACTTTAATTCTATATGCATTATACAACATCGTGACTAAATGGTTGATCCAATGATAAGTTGGCAGTTTCTTATTATTTATTCACTTGATATCAAAGAGAATACAAAATCATTCATAGACTAGTGACAAATAACTAGCACTTAAGCCTTACACGGAGATCTGAAATGTTAATAGTTGGATCAACTACCAAAAGTCTACTACTACTAAGCAGGCTATTTTGTCAATTTTTGTCATTATTTCGTGATACATTCTGCTAATCATTGGTAACTCAATTAATTTAATTAATTTTTTGTCTTCTGTTTTAATTCCAGTTTCAACGAATTTCCGGTAAAGAAGCTATACCTGAATATAAGGTTCAAGATGTTCAGGCTTCAAGATTTATTTTACTTCACTACAGTTTATTTAAAATCATCTGGGATTGGATGATTCTATTATGTACATTTTATATTGCCATAATGGTTCCATACAATGCAGCATTTTCTCAGGGAGGTGATGAAAAGGATTTAATAATTTGTGATATAATTGTTGAATTATTATTTATTGTAGGTAAGTGAGTGAAATTTAATAATGCGGTAGAATATGCCTATTAAAATTATCAATTAAAGGTTGTTTGATTTCAAATTGGTATTCATCACGAAAGAACCCTAAGTTAGAGCAAAAAAAGCTGTTCAAATCCTGGGATGGTTGGCAACTTGAAACAACTAAAATTCCCACAAACCCACAAACTTAATTACCCTTCAGTGCTAATAAGTTACTCACTTCGAGATGACTGGTGGGAAAATCAAGTCAGACTTGAGGCGAAACGGCAACGATAACACTGAAGGAAGTTTACGCTATATCACGATCTGACAGAGTTAAAAAGATTTGGACCATTGGGTTCTAACCCCGTGGATTGATAGCGACGTATTCGTCATGAGACATGAAGGTCCTGCACTCTCTCTCCAGTCGAGACATGAATGCGGATTGTTAAGAAGTCTTGCGCTAGGATGAAACAGCCGTCCAGTGCTCCTAGGTTTCCAGTGCCTCTTCAGCTGACAGCAGTCCCTAGTGGCTACCAACTTAAACGTTTTTTACGAGAAAAACATGTTCATGGTAATGTTTGGCTGCTAGTCAAGTTGGCTAAAAGCAACCTAGTAAGTATTTTTAGATGATAAATGCATGCAATGAAGGGATTTCTGACAAATTTCTAACTAGACATTTGTCAAACTGAAGTTATAGTGAATCAACGATGATTAATTAATTTTCAAATAAAATGGAATTCGTGTAGGATGAATAAGAAGTTGTCTTTGTCTGCATACTCATTGATTCGCACTGTCGTTACAAGACGTTGGGAGTTTATTCACACAGCAAGTTATTGGTGATGATGTGTTAAAAGTCTGTTCTGGTAAAACTAATACACAAAACCAATTAACTTCGTTGTTAATAAACCAAAGTTTTAAAGTATGATTCTAAGAAGTTGATATCTAAACTAAATAAGCCTTTTTACACCTTCTGATATGATGTATAAAGAAGGGGTTTAATCAAAGTTCTATAGACAAAAACCACAATGTTACTTACTATTTTGGATAGAATGGGTAGAACCTACATTGATGTAATGGATGCTTACCAACACCGAGTAGTAATAAACTTAATAAACTGACAGGTTACGGCATATATGAGATGTTTACACTGATTAGTTCATTTTCTTCTTCAAAGTTCACCAATTAATGTGACCATTAAGCTAAACGACTCACAAATTTGGTGCTCAATCTCCAAAATTATAGATTCACACTGTTGTGTTGTACGATCATTTTTGCTTACATAGAGTACGCTAATTAACTTAAATATATTTCAGAAATGCTGAAAACAATCTTATGGGGACAGCTGTGTCCAGAATTCAGAAGGTTTCATACTGTCAAATCAAAAATCGGTCATAAGATGGCAGAAACATATCTCACATTCTGTGTCACTATAAGCTTGATCTGATACCCATGTTATTCAAGGGAATCCTTGAACACAAATTACTAAAGTTCTATTTCAAGTATTTATAAAAACATTCTGTAAGTATTCTGCTAAAGAACAGACTATTGTTAACTTGAGTAAATTGATAATATTTTGTTTGACTCGCATGATATGCTAGAGACCGATTTGTGGGAAACGCTGGTTAAGCTCGGTTTCATGTTCGTTCAAACTAAAGATGTTGTATCCCGTCTCAAAGAGCACTCAGCTGATTATTGCTTGTGGTAAAGCTTACCATGAGAGATGGTCACACTCCATGAAATGTTTATCCAAACTAGCAACAAAAGTTAATGAAGTTGACTATCAGAAAATGAATAAAATCATTCTTAAATCTATTGATTTTTTCATTGTCCAAATAAAACTTTATATACAATTCACTACTACCGTTGATGACTAATAGAAATACATCAAGACTTTGATGTAGTCCCGTTGAACTTATTTATTTTCAAGACATAATATTTGCTGCTGCTCTGGTGAGTGTATGATTGACAAAATAGTTCGACATAATTTAGGTGACATCAGTTAACAGTCATGTTGAGAAAATATAAAATTGAACAAATGTTGTCTTACGTATTAATGAGTAATAGACTGAAACTCATCACCCCATATTAAACATAACCTGAATTGGAATACAGTAAACTTTGGATAGCAAAAGACGTCATGAAATACAGCTTGAAATGATGGCTAATATGCAGGTTTTCGTGTTTATATATCATCTGAAGCTGATCATTTTATAACCACTACATTATAAGTAAAAGCATTAGTCTTAGCTTCCTCCTACCACTTCAAAAACAGCAAGTCGGTGTGTTCTGAAGCTGTTGAAACTGTGTTTGACACTGAAATCAGATTTTTGCATTAGTAAATTTGTCTTGCTTTTATTGTGGCAAATATCGCATAACTGACTTGATCTTTTAAACATGACTGACTATGATTATAGAGTGGACTGAACAAAACGATTTAAATTGACTTGCCACAACCCACCGTACCTTAATCATAGGGTTTGAACCTGCTTTTTATATAAAGCTATATCTATAGGAATCTCGATGAATAATTCCTACCTTTGCGTTGGAAAATATTTTTGCGGCTGTTGTCTTAATCTTAACCTGAATAAGGCTTTATAAATGACCTTCGCCGTAGGTTTTTAAAATCCTCTTCTCCACTTTTTGGTTTTTGTTACTCATTTTAGACCCCTCCGACCAGCACATCCATAAATCATACATACCCAAACATCATCATTTAATGATCCACAAACTTAGTCTCGTTTTCCAAGCGTTGAACCAATTTATCTGTCGTATTATATGCTCATACTATAATGCCGTCCTTAATATTATTGTTGACATTTACGCTACCACTGTTTTCCTGATTCCAAATTGTATAATCTGTGTCTTGTTGTCGTTGACTGACAAATCATGTTGTTTGATTTCAAATTAACAACTACGAAAGAACAGCTGTGTATATTAAATGATAAGTTGATATAACGGAATCAACACCAAATACATGTAAGAAGAATGATTCTGTGCCTGTTCCAACTACATGGAAACTTCTACTATCTGTATAACAAAGGGAGAGAGAGAAGTAGGTCCATACAGAACATGTCTCAAAGTTGTGAAATCACCTTAACATGACCATACGCAACAGATTATGTCTCCAATAGTTCCCAGGAAATCATCCTATATCAGTGTGTGATACATCTAATAGGTAAACCAAAATGGAACAGCAGTCTGTTAGACTGCTCCAGTTTTACTTCCACATTAGTTTTACAGCAATAATTAATTGACCACATCAACGTTTCTTCCATGAATAACTGAAATTTATTTGAGTTAGTTAAAGCTTGTTTCAATCGAGTAATTAAATCCGAAATCCAATGACCTATGGAGAACGAAGAATATAACATTTGAACAATTACCATTTTGATTTTAATAGTCGTATGGTTATACAAAATACACATGACAAGTATGCTCTAATTATTAAAAATGGAAGATGACTAGCAGTAGAGTCCAGAACATGAGTTTCGTCCTATTTAGAACTCGTCAGCTGGATCCAACTGTCTTGCAGTAAGTGATCATTTTCCAAATAAGACCGGAACTAGTCGCTTCAAACGCCACTAGGTCACTAAGTTACGAAAGTCATTTCTTGATCTCCGATTAGAGTATAATTTTGATGTTGTGGCTTATTAATTTTTGTCGATGGTTGGACCGAACTTATCAGCCACTATTCTCATATAAGCTATTGTAAGAAGGCCATTAGTGGCTCATCAGTTCAATCCAATTAAAAAACTATGACATGAAAAGTATACTGTTGTTTAGATTAGTGAAAACTTATTCACTCAACCTCCTCAATTTAAATCTTTGCTTCAAGATTTTAAAGTATACTCAAATCTGTTTCATACTTATGATACAACTAGAAATTAAATGATATTTATTTTTCAACATGCGGAGCTGCATGATTTTCATATTTTCTGACTTATACTTCTGATTATGAGCTTTATCTTTTATTGATATGATGAATAAAATATCTTTTTCCAACTTCTCATTGCAACTCATGGTTGATTCAAACTATTTGAAGGTTAATCTAAGTGATAGACCAGTGCTGATAGTGTTTAAAAGGTATTCTGTAACCGACAACATACCGACTGATAATAGAAATAGCATAAACATAAATCGTAGTTTAAAGAATACTAAACAATATTTTGGTCTCAAGAAACAAAAAGTATTTTGCATTAGGACAGTATAATCACTAGACTGGTCATATTAAAGTGTATTTATTCGAATGAATAAATCTTATTTATCTCTTCATAACGTTTAATTGTTTTGTCATCTACGCCTACAAAATGTTTGGTTGAAAAGTTTAAAACAGATGCCGTAATTTCGACAAAGATAAACAAACATGAAGGTGTGCAATAAGCACTATATAAATTCATACATAAATCATTATCGTCTTCCTCAGGAACGAATTCAACGTTTACTAGTTATATTAAGAAAATGTTGAAAGTTTTTTTCAAGCAAGGGAATATACTGAAGACTAAATTTAACTACCAACAAATCACCTTGAAGTTAAGGAGATTGTAGTAATTTACTTTTTCTCTTTTACAATTATTATTTTAATGTGTTTCACTGACTTTCTTGTCTACCATCCGTATTCATACAAGCAAAAACCTCAATAGAAAATGATTTAAATAGATTGATTTTAGTAAAACCCCCCTCAAAAAGAAAGAAAGTTCATATAATTTTCCAAAGAAATGACTAACCTACGTAACTAATTTAGGCATCAATTTAAAGGATTATCTAGTCCTGAGCAAGGATAAATTCAATTCACATGTAGTCATATTTGTCATTATATTTTTCCTTCTACTGTATTTAACAATGACAAATCTTATTTAACTTAATTCTATATAAGACAATGGTTTTCGCCCCAAATAATACACCCAAAATTCATGAATAACTATTTCTAATCACTAACTCATATTATTGTTTCGACAGCTAGTGATTCACTGACCAAGAACAATTTTATCAGTTCATATACCAAGGTTTATCATCTTATTGGTTATC